TTGATACGTTGCAGATTTTGTGGAAGCATGAGAATGGCAATGATGGATGTATGAATTGGCTGCAGAAACTCAAGGATTTGAACGTGGACTTTTTGATGGTTTAGGCCTGGCGCTGAGATGGGATCATGGGAAAACAGGACATATTTGATACCACGACAATGATGTATAGCAACTATTTATGAGAGCGATGCAGAAATGCTTGACACGACTTTTCCGCAACGTACTCGGTTTCATGAATGAAAAATTTGACAGAAACCTTGAATCATGTCGCTGACTTGGTGAGCTGTTAGGCTCCAGTAATCCTGGCCCTTGACCTGGCTTCTAGGAGGCATGGGCCATGCGGTTTTTTTCCTTTCATGGCCGAGAAAGGGGGAAGCATGTGTTTGCATCACGATCGCGATACTGAACCGAGCTGGCGACCTCGATACGCCCAAGTCAGGTTTAATGGAGTTGAGCTAATGGTAAATCCCATTTGATCGTGACCGTCGAGGGCTGTATAGTACTACTACCCCGTGGCTTCAGACGGAAGTCGGCCGGTGACTAATCAATCGGCCAAGCCTGTTTGTCACTGGCTGCTGGAGTGGACATTTTTCTCGAACAGACAGGTACAGCAACGTCAGCTTCAACTTGTCTAACAGTGTTATCGCGTATGTCGCATCGCTTCAATTTTACTCAGAATACTACTCTTCAAACCGACAGTGATCGCCGAACCTCATCGGGGAAGACCGTCGACACAAACGATGGCAACTTACCCCAGGGATTATCCGTCCAATGCCAACGCAAAACATGCACGCGACCTTATCTCTCCATCACGGAAGTGGTGTGCCGTCTTCCACACCATGACATCAACAGCTTAAACCCTTTCAATTCTACCCAGCCAACGTACCACAAATTGTCAGACGCACTGCCCTTTGTGGAATCGCTCCGGTCTCCCCATTGCGGCCCGACATGGGAATGAACCTTCTGGTGGGGGACTGGTCCGAAAGATATGGATCCTGGGGCATAATATAAAAAATTTCCTCCCCTCCTCTTCTGTCTGCGGTCGCTGCTCTGTCTCTAACCTGCTAGGAAATCACTATCGCATACAGACAATGTCTTGCTGACTCTCGATCGATATCCTGCATACCCATACCTATCCTCCTTAACGCGTGTGAATGCGGCTCCGAGGAGCCGTTTGCCCCAAGACGATTTAACAAGACCCCACTACCAAGTACTACTGCAAATCGACGCGGATGGCCGTTCCGTCTGCTCACGATCTCGATGAAGTCCTTCCGGGCACAAGACGTCTCTTCGCCGACGAGCACGCCAGCGTCGCTTCCGGCGATGCCAGTATCGAAAAGCATGGCGATGTCATCCTCGTTCCCCCTCCGACAAAGTCTCCCAATGATCCATTGAACTGGAGTCTTGCGCGCAAGACCTGGCATTCGTTTCTCGTGTGCTACATTGTCGCTTTGACCGCCGCCACCTCCAATGTCGCTGGTGCTGCGAGCACAGGTGTCAATGAGCAATACGGGATTAGTTACGATGTTTTCAATACGGGCGCTGGTGTGCTCTTTGTCGCGATCGGATACTGGACGCTTCTCAGCTCGCCTGCGACGCATCTTTACGGACGACGAATTCTATATTTGGTAGGCACGGTATGGGGTCTTATTGGTAACATTTGGTTCGGCCATTTGAAGACCACTGGCGACACGATTTGGTCTCAGCTCTTTGTCGGGGCTTCCGAATCTGTCGCCGAGGCGGTTGTCCAATTGTCTCTACTAGACATTTGGTTCGAGCACCAGAATGGTACTTCGCTGGGTATGTATACCCTTGCCACTACGGTCGGAACCTATGTTGGCCCTTTGATCGGAGGCCATTTGGCAGAGAATGTCGGCTGGCGCTGGATTGGCCACATGGGCGCAATTGCCTCTGGCTTTACCCTCGTCCTCTTTTACTTCGGTCTTGAGGAGACAGCCTTTGAGCGCAATCGCTACCTCAATCTCCACCAGACTGAGGAGCGCGACGCCAACCGCGGTAATGTTGAGGGTATTCCCGCGGCTACTGGCGACCATGTCGTCACCAAGGATGCCGAGGAGAAGAACATGTCGCCTCCAGTTGACGAAGAAGCTGCGATCTCTCGAACCGCATCTGCAGTGCGACGAGAGGAGGTCGAGCGCAACAGACTCGAGGCTGCGTTCGCGCGCAAGAAGTCTTACTGGCAGCGCATTGCTCTCATCACTCCAGCGTCCAACCTGCGCGGTTTGGGATTGACGCAGTATGTCCACCGCCTGTGGCACACGATGCGCATCTTTTCTTTTCCCGCAGTTTGGTTCGCTGGTCTTCAGTGGGGAATGCAGAACATTGCATTGTCCTTCTACCTCACCGTCGAGGAGGATTACTGGGTGAACGATCCGTACAACTACAGCGACTCTGCTGTCGCCAATATGAACATTCCTTGTCTGATTGGAAGTGTCATCGGCTGTTTCTACGGCGGATACTGCAGCGACAAGTTCATCCTATGGAAGGCTAAGCGCAACAACGGCATCATGGAGGCCGAGTTCCGTCTCTACCTCATGGCCCTCTGCGTGATCATCTTCCCATTGGGTATGTGGCTGTTCGGTATCGGCTCAGCGCATGGTTGGGACTGGCCTGTTCCCTACGTCGCGCTGGGCTTTATCGGGTTCGGCTACGGTTGCGCTGGTGATCTGAGTATCACGTACCTAGCCGACAGCTATCCCGACATGGTTCTCGAGGGCATGGTTGGTGTTGCTGTCATCAACAACACCCTCGCCACTATCTTCACATTCGTGTGCAGCTACTGGATTGACACTGGTCTACAGAACACCTTCATCGAGCTTGGTATTCTTAGCTTCGTCATCATCATGTCGTCGCTGCCCATGGCTATTTGGGGCAAGGCGTCGCGTCGCTGGACTTTGGAGCGGTATGCCAACTTCTTGCGCATTCGCGATGGTATGGACGGTTGAAAGGAGGATAGGTATCATGCCTTTTCCTTGGGTAGACCGAGTGGTCTGAATCGACAGATTGTATTGATGATCAGAGTTATGGCTTGCTAATAGTTCAAGCTTACTCTCGTGTAACAGATTTGAGTCTAGGGTGCTTCGCTGAAGTGAAGCGTCATTACTTGTATTCTCCAGATATTGGGTTATGTATATTTCATGAGTATTGACCCCATTAATTAACATTTTTCTCTATGAATCGTTGTCCTGTTGCTCAACGACTCCGTACCACCAATCCACCTGTTGGTTGCAGACCCTATGCCATCCATTGCTTGCGAATATCTGCCGCAGAAGCAACACCTCATCAAGCACCCCCTGACACTGACTCAACCCTATCCTATGGTCCCTCTCTTCCGTGAAGCCTTACCCGTTCAGTGTATCAGCCCCTCAGACGAGACCCTTAATCCAGCTAAATTCCCAAATCGGAACTCGTGGACCAAGACTTTAAATAGTCTCCTCCTTATTTTCCACTTCTATTCCCGAAACTATCACGAGGCCCGACAAACATTAGAAAAGCCCGTTTGGCCTTCCCTTTCATGGATCTCAGCTTGGACTTAGTGCGATCTAGATCACCTGCTTAACAGCCCATGCCCCTTTGACGGTTGGGTCTGTGGCGTTTAGGATATCTGACTAGGAGCTGCCAACGGTGCGCTAGCTGTAGAAAACGTGGGAAATCGATGAATGATGGCGATAACCTCGTGGTGCTAAGCGTTCTTTTTATTAAAACCGTTGAGCTTTCTTATCGGTGTGGTAGGGCTTTCAGGGGTAGGGTATGTTTGGAGCGGAGTTGGGATGCAGCTGTGCCGAAGAGGTTGTTATATAAAGGGCACCATAACATCGCATCTCCTCATCATTCTCAGTACATTCTTCACTCAACCCTGCTAAAAAAAAATACTGAATCAAGCTTCCTAACTTTCTCTGCCAAAAACACTACAATACCTTCACCATGAAGTTCACTCTCATCGCCGCTCTCATCGCCCCTGTCCTGGCCGTCAACGTTCCCAGGGAACTCCAAGAGCGCTCTGGCTGTGGTGATAATTGTGCCCGAGCCGTTGTCCCTGGCTTCCGTGGCCCTGCCGTCGTTGCTTCATACAAGGCCGAGTGTGAAGCCTATCTTCAAGTTACTACTACTCCTGATGCAAGGTAAGCTATAGGTACTGAATCCTCATTAGGGTCTCGAACTAATGATATCAAGCACTGTTTATGTCACCAAGTCTATTCCTACCTATGCCAGTGCTTGCTCTGGAGAGCCTCGCTATCTTACGGCTTGCTCTTGTGCTAGTGCCTCTGTTGTTACCGTTGCGGCGCCTACTCCCACCGTTACCAAGGTTGTCTATGTTTAACCTATTTCCAGCCTACCGGATTTCTTAGACCCCCAACACGGGATGTATTGCAGAGATAGGGCGGCATTGAGTTCGACATGATCAGGGTATCACTTGGATCCAAGGCGTCAGGGAGCTCGACGATTGGTAACATGTAGACACGAGATAGTTTATCAAGTTCTTGAATATAAGCTTTCGCAAATCTCTATTGAAGACTCGTGACCTCATATCTGGAAGATACATGTTCATAGTCAAGGCTGAGTCTCACCTCTGTTCCCCACTGGAGCCCAAAATTTGGTGATATACTATTTATGAAGTTCCACATAGTCTGGCCGCTATCTAAACTATCTGGGTACCTAACTATATGGTCCGGAAGTTGCTGGCTTAGTCAGTGTAGCGGTCAAGCTTAAGCAAAAAGCTAAATTGACTAGTGAGGGGGAATATATTTCACGATACACGAGAATGCTTCTGGGTTCTTCCACATTATAACAGCTGCGAACACAGGTGAAGGGAGAATCAATAAACGATAAATTTGAAAATGCCTTCAGATCTTCAGCTCTCGAAAGAAGATGCCGTGGCTTGGCTGGTTGAAGTAGGTGTATCTTTTGTATCTTTTGCACACAGAACCCTGTTGATATTGACACATTTCGCTTCACAGAACAACACTCAAAGTGCCAAAATGGATGTAGACGTATGGCTTGATAAGTTCTATACAGCAGATGCCACAATCCAATACGCGAACAGCCCGGCGCGCTCCGTTATTGATGCTAGACAAGTAGACTACACAAACCAGAATCTGTTTCCTTTGACATACTGATGGTATATCCAGATGTTCAAAGCTATATGGGCCAAGTTCGATGGATTAAAACATGATATTGTCCATGTTGGTAAGTTATTACACATCACTAGTTCTCCAACAACATTCTCACAAAACTAGATTATGTGAGCCCCTGCATCTATCATCGTTGTGATGTTCGGTATCTTGTCAAGGGAGACGATCCCAAAACGCAAGAAATCAAGGTTCCAGCGTTCGCTACGATGTTGATGAAGAGGGACGATGATGGAAGCTTAAAGTCGTATAAGATGGAGGTTTTCATAGATCCCTCGCCTGTATTTGCACGCATTTCCGAGAAAGGTCTATGAAACTTGAAAACTTTAGTATTCCTAGCAATAGTCGACTCGTTAGAATTGAATGAAGACTATCTGCAGGTAATTGTGCTCTTTGTGATTGTTGTCCAAGATCCATCAACATTTAGGCGCTGGTAAGCCAATTCTTTCACAACCTTGTTACCAAATGACAGGAAAAACGAACCATCATGCCCATCAGCTGTCACAGACGTTGGAGCTTTATCTCCAGGCAGTGCAACAACCCTATTCGTTCGTTCACGAATATCAAAAGGTGCGCCTCGCTTGGTATCAACACGAACGTGATATTCATGCCCTCTCTTGTTGTTCAGAAAGTGCAAAATGGAGCATTTGGCGAACATCTTGATGGGATACGTGTTCTTTGGCAAAGGCTGATCAAGCGGCGTAAGACTCATGTGCAAAGCATCCTTACTCCCGAATTCAACAGCACTCGCATTGAGATGCAATCGAGTTGTGTAAATGGAACGATCACGGTCCGTGCTATTGCGGCCATGGTGCACATAAAACAGCTCAGAACCGATAGGTGTTCGATGCGTAACCTCCTGAGCACCGATTATCTTGCTATTCTTACCAGGTGATGCAACGATGCTACCATGGCCAGTTGAGTAGATTGGAATCTCGCTATCAGAGTCTTGCGAAAGGATAGGATTGTTGGCAGATTTTCGGAATGGACCAAATGGGGACTTTGCAGTTGCGAAGCCAACGCCGTAGTTGGATGCTTCGTAGTTATTGGCGCTGTATAACAGAAGGTAAACAGGCTCTGAATCGGATTTACCAGTTCTCGTGATGATAGTGCTCCCCTCAGCCCAACGACGATCTTTCTTCGTGCCGTTGAACCGTCGATAGTCGTCAACATGGAAGTTCTCCCAATCTTGCGGATCAGCGCCGTAGGAAACCACAGTCTTCCAGCCGTCTTTGCGAGGCGGTGATCCAATCTCACCAGTGCCATTGTAAGCGGTGATGTTAGAGGGAAATTTTGGCGCATTCGGGGCATGGAAGTTCCTCTGCGTGGCAATGATTTGTGGCATGGTTAATGCATTTGGATCATCCCACCAAGCGCGTTCCATCTCGACTACGATGATATTCGACTCCTCGATGTACTTGCCCAGCTTGCTATCCCAATTCCAGTTTCGGTACGCATTCCGTGAGAGATACAGATAGATGCGCTTATCCGTGTCAAAGAAGATATTGACATCAATGGTGGGGATATATGTTCCCTTCGGCGCTGTCTGGCCCTCTGCAAGACTCTGCGGTGGCAGCATCTGCTTCTCGTCCATGATGAGGTTGACATCGTGATAGTCGGGATCGAACGGGTAGTATTCAATCGGCTTAGACTCAATTTCCCTAAACGGTCCCGTCGGATAACGAGCGACAGCCACGCCAATCTTGGACGGTTCTTCAAAGTCCGAGTATCGGAAGTAATTCTTGGTGAAGTCCTCCCGCAACCGGCCAGCGTAGAAGAAAAAGTACCATCCAGTTTGCTCATTGTAGTATATCTCGGGAGCCCAGTACCAGTCACGCGCCCAGCAGGCCTGGCCGCCTTCGATGGGGTTCATGTCATCACCGTAGCACGCTTTCAGAACGCCACCGGGATATTTGTGCCAAGTTGACAGATCAGGACTGCTGTAAATGGCGAAGAGACTTCCTGGGTCTGCTCCCTCTGTAGAATAGGCATAATACAGATTTGTTTTGTAGTCCCACATCACATAAGGATCGGCGCCGGGGTGATTTGCCGAATTGTGAAACTGTGGCGGCTTTGAAGCCAGCGAGGATGCGCAAAGGCACGCGATGATACTTGAAACCTTCATTTTTCCAGGCGCATCATGATAAGATTATGCGGAAAAGAAGCGGAGATTGCAATTGACGACGGGTTTATAAACTATCTTGTTCTTGATGTCATTGCCTTTCCCCTCTTTACTATGTAACCCAAAGCCTGCATCGGTCCGAGCAGGAGTGTCATCCTTGATCGGCCTCGGTGTAATACGGGGCGAGTCTTTATGACTATCTTCTGAAGCCATCATCAGCTGTAAAATAACAGGCGTCCTGTGGTTCTGAACCGTTGAAAATCTCAACGACTGAATTGAATTCAACGGCAAAGTAATTAAGCAGCGAGACTCCCATGCAACCCCGAAGACCAGGTTGATCGAGTGATGGACCGGCATTCCAGTATCAACATCATGACGTTTTATTCTCCACACAAGCTCAAATAGCCTAAATTCTGGGGCCGTGTCTAGTCTGCGCAACCGAGTCACACTTCTCGCACGAGTCAAGGTCAAGGTGAATGGCATTCATCGTTGGAGGCTTGCATATGCTCCGTGGTGTTCTCGCCGTTGTCCTCGTGTTTGTGGCGGTGGCCCAGTCATTGACAAGTAAACTCTAAGCATCACATTCCGACAGTCAGGTTTCTATGATGGCGAGAGTTCATGGCCCTTGTGTTAGGCTGGCCGGGAAACGAATTAGGTTCGGCCAAGACTAGGTTGCGAGATTTTGAAGAGCTGGAAGAGATTGGTGATAGTGTTGAGTGATACGCAAGATGGGATATTCTGAGATCTCAATTCCGATCCTATGGGTCTACTAAGTCCGGGTAGATGTCCCGTCCGCCGGCGCATCTGAGACATCCCGTCCGATCGCATACTACCATCTGAGGATCGATATCTGTCTCAGTCATGAAGCTCAGCCAGCCGTGAAACTGGCAACAATGATCCAGAATCCTTTGGACCTTGGCAGTCACGCAAACACAATCCTATTCTTAGCACCACAGCATGGCAATCCTTAATCTTCCGATAATAACTTTTCTCTCACAATCTCTGGAATGACGGTTCAAATAGTTCCAACTCCTTCTAACGTAAGCCCATAGCTGAGGAGCTTGGGCCAGAGGGATACATCATCACCCGTTCAACCACTGTAGCTGCAGTTATACGGACCGGTCCGCATTCCAGGCTTTGTGTTATCACGATGATGAGGAGAATTTGCGATCATCGTGGCTTCAACTGAAACCAAACGGGCTTGCAGGACCAAGAAAACCAGGATTTGAATGAAAACAAATAACGATATCAGTGCCTTGCATGAACAAAAAACCAAGAAATTCAAAGGTGAATTGGCGAGTTGGTATGGATCTGCAAGACTATCACTCGTTGTTTGTCCCGCATAGTCCGCATTTGGTATCGTGTCAGTTGACTTTCACAAACTCTACGAAGCCCCAAGACGAGGCTGAACGTTTTCGGACTGTAGCTGACGCGGTTCAGTTTGTGATTGGCGATTAGGATATTAAGTTTGCCGAGTGAGGCTTTGTATCAGCCCCAAAACCAACAGTTCTATGATGCTCAGTTACGGGCTACGATCCGGTGATTTTCCAACCTGGAGTGTATACGGTAGAATTCGCTCGTATTGTGGTCAGAGAGGGTGTCAGTGAGAATTATAAAGCCAGGGGCCGTATCTTTGCAAAATCAAGTGTTTCAAAGTAACTCAAGTGAAGACTGCAGTACCTTGAGAAAGCAGCAAGCATGTCTTCGTTTCAAATTTTGTCTCTTATCACAGTAGCCACTTCTGTTGTAGCACTTGCTGGGACACCAAATGTCTACGCTAGTAGCCGCCGAGGCTCATGCTATGATGATGCTGCAGCTGAAGACACCTGCTGCTATTCATCACCTGCGAGGGTGGTTCAGACTCAAGTCTGGGATACACGGCCAGTCACTGGGCCTTTAGGTGAGTCTCTGTCCCCAGTATAAACGAATCAGCTGTGTCTAACTTCTTCTTCAGACTCCTGGACTGTTGGTGGACTCTGGCCAATTCACAACGACGGCTCCCTCCCTACCCACTGCGACACCAACCGCACATACACAAACATCACACAGATCCTCTACCATGCCGGCGCTGAAGATATCATCGACGATATGAACAAACTCTGGGAGTCACCTGGTGGCGATAACGATGAGCTCTGGCAAGATCAATGGGCCAAGCATGGCACATGCTTCAGCACCTTGAGCCCGGAGTGCTTCAGCCACTATGAAGTCTCCGAAGAAGCAGCCCCGTACTTCCAAAAAGCCATGTCTCTCCACAAGAGGCTGCCGACATATGAATGGCTTCGTGACGACGGCATTATCCCTTCATATTCCATGTTTTATCGGCTTTCTGATATCCAAGATACACTTGAGGATCATCATGGCTCCCGCGTGTCACTTCGCTGTGCCGGACAAAGAATCAGGGAGATTGGGTATCACTTCAATGTGACAGGCACTCTGCAAGATGGTGTCTTTACTGACTCTGGTGGTTTCGGCGATTTGGGAGACTGTCCAGAGCTGGTATTGTATGAACCAAAAGGGGAAACCAGGAAGGCAACCTTTAACTTTGAGACGTTTCATCCGCATACCGCTGCGGACGTGGAGGACCTTTAGTTTAGTTCATGAGAATACTTCACCCTAGGTAGCTTAGATAACATTTCAATAAATTACGTATGTCAACACATACGCTACTCTAAACTAGCAGCTAGCTAAATACCGTTTGCCAGTTCTTGATTGTTCTTTTTGAAGTGATCTTCCAAGGACATAGTTCAACATTACGGGCAACTTCTTGCCTTCGTCGAGACTTGTTCCAACCAAAGGCCATGCTTTGAACTTGATCGAGTATACAGATGTAAGTCAAATATGGAGCACTCTATATCAGAATCACGGAATGTGGGCAATGAAGGCCAGCTCAGCTACTCAATCCACAGCAAACATACCCCAGTTTACAATATCTCCGAAACATCACCGTCGGATTATCGGCCTGCTCAGTCAAATATCTCCACCAGTCACAACCTCAAAACTTATTGTTTCACCCAAACAACGCTGACAGACCCAGATAATATCCATGCATGTTTTAAGCCGCGTATAAATACGACAGCTGCCGTTGAGCTTGAGCCACTATATCCTTGCTAGAATTGGCCAAGGGGCGAGCGCTCCACCGAGAGAATCATGGATATCTCCACTATGACATGTTTCAAAAACACGTCTTCAATT